ATTTTGGGACATAGTCATACCTTATTTTGATCTATTTCTCCATCAACTCCCCACTCTGTTTTCGCATCCCAATCTTAATGTGTTTCGGAAATTCTTTCATCAGATCTACTTCCACTTTCACTCTCGCACAACTAGGCCTGGTTTGATTTCTTGTAGCCATATCTACCTGTAATGGCTTCCCTACTGTTGCAGCTAAGGAGAAAATTGTTTCCTTTCCAAAAAAATTTGGGGGAAGCGAGGGAAAAGAGATCCACGCAATAGCAGTCGTTGTTTCCTCCTCCGAATTGAACATTGGATTAATGTAGAAAGCCGATTTCGATAACAGGTGTACGTAATCCTTCAAGAGAGTAGCCCTGATTAAAACATGTCTATTGCTTAAAAGACCAATACTGCAATCCCCTTTAAGTTCACACTGCTTAGGGATCAATCTACGCAGGTCTTGTATATCAGGCCATCCATATGAAAACTTACCAATTACTGCATACTCAAGATTCTCGTTTATGATCATCTGATTCACTTCATCCTGTTCCCATATTACTTGTGGTTCACCATGCAAAAAGGAAATTGGTTTAAGGGGTAAAGCCTTACTATTAGCTTTATAATGTCTCAAAGAGTCAGCATACGTAGTTACTGCCAGTATGCCATCCTCAGGAGGGTGATGGCCCCCAGCCACGGCGGCCATCGGAAAAGACTAAAAAGTTTAACGGCGGCAAGTTTTAGGGTTTGAAAAATTGGCAAGTATATTTTAGGGCAGTTTAAAAGCATAGCATTGAATATTTTAATTTAATGTAAAATTGAATTTTTTGGGGTTATGAATATAAAATGTTTGAAAGTTATAAATATTATTAATACTAATTAAAAGTATAATTTATGAATATGAAGTAGTGTGAGTTATGAAAATAACTTTTAAAAAATAATATCATTGAGAAAAATTCAAAAAAGGAGAAAAAGGAAAAATGACAATGAAGGCCATAGAGAGCGCCACATCACCGTTTAAGGTAGCTCTACTGATAATTGTGAAGAAAGCATATTAATGGATTAAAAATCAAAAAGAGGTAATTAAACTCTAAAATATTATAAAAACATCTATAAAATTTGGTTGAAGCTCAAAATCTATTAGTGCCATATGAATTAGGATAGAGGAAATAACATATATTATTTGAAATAACATGAAACGTACTACAAATCACACAATAAATAGCAACTTCAAAATTTAAAGGACATACAAAAAAGTTTGATCAACTCTCAAAATTCTACTAATGTCACATAGTTTGGGATAGAAAAAGTAACATATACGTAAAATGTGCTATAACTCATAATAATTAAATAACTTCAAAATCTAAAAGACATATACAAAATTTGCTTGACTTTCGAAATCTATCAATGACACATAAATTGGGACAAAGAGAATATTGAAAATTACATATAAAGTATTATTAACCACAATAATCAACAACTTAAAATTTAAAGAACATACAAAAAAATTGTTTGACCGTTAAAATTTTATTAATGTCACATAAATTAAAAGAAAAACTAAAAATATATGTTGGGCCCGTGCTAGCAAGGGCTACTATAACTAGTATATATATATATGAGATTTGAAAAAACAATTTTATTCAATTGATAAATGATTACTCGTGTTCATGAAATACTCTACCTCTGTCCCTTTTTGTACATAACAAAATTTTAATGCATCCAACAGAAAATTTTTTTTATCCAATTTGGTTGGTGGAAAAATATTCTCATTACATTCGATTCTAAAAAACGTAATTCTCAATTAATTTCAGAATGTGTTAGTACATGCCTTCACTCCCTTCGTTCACTTTTTTAAAATAGATTTTTTTTCACTTTTAACATATCAAAATAATATAATTAATCACATCAGAACTCCGAAGTTAAGCGTCTTTGGGCGAGAGCAGTACTAGGATGGTGACCCCTGGGAAGTCCTCATGTTGCATCCCTCTTTTTAATATATATATATATAAATTCTAATTTATTCTGAACATTAATTATTTATTCTCCAAATAATTTCTCAAATTTAAAAAATATACATCAATTAGTATAAACATGGTAAATTACTCAAATTGATATTTTTTAAGAAATATGCAAAATTTAAAATAGACAAGTAAAAGTGAATCACGGAGATAGCAAGTTAGTACCAAATTAATGGTGATGTACAAGTTGTGGGCATGGACTTATTATGAGTAGAAAGGATCCAAAGTGAATTATTATTAAGTAGTTGTACATATATAATTTGGACAGAGAGTTGAGTTTTCTAAATAGATACTATTGTTGCAGTGACACTGTTTTTTACAAATTCACTTACAAAAACAATCTCATGATTTTGCGCCAACTCAACGCAACCTTAATTTATTGTCGGGAAATACAAACTAAAGACTTTAATGCAACAAAAAACAAAAAATAGAAATTTCTTTTTTTCCTAAAAGACACTATAGCTTTTCTATTCTCTTTTTATTTTGCCATCAAATATGTTGAGTAAAATATGTCGGCATCCATTTTCTTAACTTTAAACTTCAAAGAAAAGTGAGCTTTTTGGGCTTCATTTATGAACCACAAGTTTGTGTAACAGAGTTATATTTTTCTTGTTTAAGTAAAAACGTTTCATACTTTAAAAGGTATGTGAACCTACTAGCTCTTTCATTCTTTTGTTATTGTTAAATATGTGGTATTAATTTTATATAATTAATTAAGGATTTAATGCTGATAATATTGTCCTTGTAATTAAAGAGTATAGCTTGTTTGGTTAAGTCTAATCAACATGTTCCAGTCGAAACCTTGTGGATTAACAGTTGTTAAGCCCCACAAAAGTAGTTAGGTTGATCCTTTCATCAACCTTAATAATGCTACTAATCTATTTCCTATTGGACCTTTTGTGATTTGGCTTGGTTGGTCCACGGAGAGAGGGGTGGAGCTAGTAGCTTGCATGTGGACCCAACAACTTTTATTTAAATAATGTATTTAATTTAGAACTCATAAAATTAAATTTTAGTTTCGTCAAAGCGTGTCTGATTGGTAAAAACAAGATATATCTCCCATTTATGACAAGAACTCTCGAGTATATCTTCAAAATAAATGCTCTTCATAATAAGCCATATCATTCTTATAGTATTTCCCTTCGTTCTTTTTCGAAAAAGTAGACTAGTAGGTCCTAAACAATAGGATATCATTTCCCAGATTCAATAAATTAAACGAAATGCAAAATTGACTATTATATAACAAATGAACCATCCTTCTGGACTTTCTTTGCCTCCAAAAGGACTCATGGACATAGTGCCAACTGCCAAGTCAAACCAAAATGAAATATATCAATTTATTAACATTGCAGTTAATAATCGTTAACGGAGCTTGGTACGTAACAAAAGGCAATGGAAAGTAAAAATAACAAATTTAACCGAACCTAATACTTTTAATACAACTAGAAATAAGAATTCATGAACTATACACTACACATTTATTTTGTCTAAATATTATATAATACCTATAATTAGACAATAGCAAAAAACAATTTTATTTTTTAGAACGAGGGGCAATGACTGCATGCTATAAGCTTACAGATCGTTGCGTGTATGGTTGGTCAACTTTTTCTCTTCTTTTTAAAAAAAAAAAATATTTTGGTGGGGTAGGGGGTGGGGTAGGGTGGGCTGGTTTGGTATGCTAAAAATAAAATAATACTAGTTGACCAAAGAGATCATACCGCGAGTCCGTGCTTCATGACTGCTGTGTTGTACCCCAAAAGGAGACGTACATATAATATTTAACTTCAAAAACTTTAAAAAAAAAAAAAAAGTCTATGCCATTCTTCATATATTTAATTTTATATGTATATATTATTAAAGCTACAGTAAAATTATCTTTATTTAATAGATCACGAGTTCAAGTCATAAAAATAATTGCTAACGTTATGAACTCCGCTCACATGGAATATTTTGCACAGTGGGAGTCTGAATTTCACAATAAGAAATAAAATTAACAGTAGAATGCGGCGCCTAACGATCCCACAAATCACGCCGCCAATCCCTCCTTTTAATCTTGACTTAATCTATGTAGTGTCTTACGTTAACTTCAAAATAATACAACTTAAAAGTATAGTATTGTTATATTTATATAGTAGTATGAGAAATGGATAATTAGATAAAATAGAACTGTAATAATAAAATAAAATAAAAAGGTAACGCCAAAGATATTTCAATAAATTATAATATTTCAAAGATTTGTTGTCACTATGTGAAACGGATTCTACACTAATAAAAAGAGAACTGTTGCCAAACTGTAGAATAGTCTACGTGGGAAATTTGACTGGGAAAAATATGTATCCTGACAGTTCAACAACATTAATCTTTTTTTTAAAAAAAAACTCTAGAAAATCAAATTCGTAGTAATTACTTTTAACTTTTTTCTCAACACAATTATATTTCTTTCTCTAGCGTAGTTTATGAACTATTATAAAAAAAGCGGAGTTTATCCTATGCACGCACATCACGGTTGAGAGAGAATAGAAGGTACGAGGAACATCAAAGATATATGTAAAAAAGGCTATGAATGGTAAAACAGGAATGACTATTCAGAGTAAAATGTAGTAAAAGAAAAAAACAGAAACTCAAAGTAAAGAGCATTTTACTATTCCAATAAACCAATATTGACAAGAAAACAAGGAAAATGAACAAAAGAACTTCTCTCCATCATTCATAATTATATTTGTATTCCATCTCCCTAGCTAATCTAAAACTAATCTTTCAAGTATATGATTAGCCATATAATCAAGTACTTCAAGAAATTAAACCAATCCCCATACCCCATATTATTATCTACAGTACACTTGATGAAATTAAACTAAAGTTCTTTGTTTTTTTTTTTGGAAAATCATGATTTAGAAAACATGATGGTAAGCTAGCACTAATTACTAAATCTCTCTCTTTTTTTTCCCTCTTCATTGTTGTTATGATCACATAATCATGACTTCAATTATAATCTTCTTTTTTCTAATCTGTAGAAAGAAGCCATGATTCCACCATACCTTCAACACCCTTGGTTGCAGCTACTGTTTCCTGCACCTTATCACCATGAAAATTTGTTGCAACCACTGTTTCCTGCAAATTATCGCCATGAAAATTTGTTGCGTTGACTGTTTCCTGCACTAACTTATTGCCATGAAAATTTGTTGCATTGATAGTGCTGTCGTTGATGGACGATGCTGTTGCTGCTTGTTCTTCAGAAATCAGATTGGGAAGCTCAGTCAGAAGATGTCCATGCTGGACGCTGCTGTTCATTCTTGATGGCATTTGGAATTGCGAGATGTTATTTGATGGCATTTGGAATTGAGAGATGTTATTTGATGGCATTTGGAATTGTTGTTGTTGTTTCAACCCAAATGGGTATTTTTGAGAACATTGAAGAAGTGATGTGAAGATTGAGTTGTGTTGAATTGAATTGAAATTATTAGAGCCTTGTCCGACAGAATTGGCAACTCCGGTGGGAAGTTGATAGTTAATAGCAGAATTAGTAGCACTAGTAGTTGATGATGAAGCAGAAGCAATGTTGATAGGTAAACGATTCAACACTAACGGTGAGGATGATGAAGAAGGAGAAAGATAGGGTGGTGGTGGCTGAGGGAACGGCCTCGGTAGATAATTAGACGATGGTTGTGAAATGAAGAAATTAGGATTGTTATTAGCTACAGGAGGAGGAGGAGGAGGAACAGATCTTACAGCAGAATTAGGGGCAGAAGCAAATAAATCAAATCTGTTTCTAATAGGAAAATAGGAAGGAGGAGTAAAAGGTGGTCCAGGAATCCCTGTAAATTCTTGAACCATAGCTCTGAAATTAGTTGTATCTGTTGTCAACACAGTAGTTGGTGCCTTCCTCGAAGCTCTCGATCTTTTCTTCGTATTCCGTGCCTGTTGTTGATCCGCTGCAGCTGCACCTGCCGGCTGCTCGGTAATAGTAGTAGCACTCACATTTCCACCAACGGCGTGGTGTTCTTCTGATCTTGATGGGAAAGAAATACTACCAGTAGTAGTATCAAAGGATAACGAATTATTAAAATCAGATAATGGTAATAACATCGGGTTGTTGGGCTGATCGGTTCTTATCCTTTTACTGTTCCAATGGAATTCGAGATCGTAAATTGAATTTTGGGTGTTCTGTGACGGAGGTGGTAGTGGTAGTGGTAGTGGTGGTGGTTGGGGGCGGGATACGGGGTCGAAAAAGTTGATAAAAGGGTCAAACATGGAGGAATTTTGTGTGTGAAAAGCTGTAGAAAAAGATTGAGAAGCAGCACGTGAATCGTACTCTTCATCACCAACACCACCACCAACACCACCAGTACTTGATGACTGCAAACTAGCACTGTTATTTCCAGAATCCATTAATTTTTTTTTGCTTTAAACAGCTCAGATAACAAATGGAATAAAGCAAGAAGAAGAAAGGACAGAGATATGGAGAGAGAGAAAAAGAGATTTCTATTTGTTGGTTTTAGTGCACTTACTGCAAAAAACACCACCTCACTAAAAATGGAACACAATCAGAGAGAGATATATGACTTCAAATCTCTGCACAAAAGAAGAAGAAGATGATGATAGCAGCAGTACTCCTTTTCCCCATGCTTCTTGTCTCTGATCCACAACAACACAAGAGATGAACACAAAAAGTTAAAAATTCATCATGACAACCATATATATATTTTTATTTAGGGTTTTCATCAAATTTGAGAAGAAGAAAAAAAGAGAGAAATGAAGGAGGAGAAGAAAAGAAAAGAAAAAAGAAGAAAGAGAGGCGGCTTTAGAGAAGATATCTCAAAATTTTGCACTCAAAAGTAGAGTGGGGTATAGCCATGAGAGGCGCTCTACTTGAAAGGGACTACTACAACTTCTTTTTTCTTTTTTTTTTGAGTGTGTTTTGATTTACAGTGTGAAAGGTTTTATATTGCTTTAAAAGAAATCCAGTCAATAAAAGATTTATTATCATTGCTTAAAGAGGCAAATTGAAGTTATTGTTTGGATGAGATTATATTGAATGTTTTTATTTGACTAAATCTAATTTTTAAAATAAGTGTTTAAATATTCGTTTTTAAAATTAAAATAATAAAATAAATCAAATTACACTAGTTATAAGTTTTTCGTCTGTTATAAACTATTTTTTTGTATTTCATATTAAGTGAATTTGTGAGACAATAAATATTTAAAAAAAATTAATAACATACTTTAAAACCTATTGAATTCTTATTATTGCCTTTTGTGAAATCATAAATATAATTTTACAAATAATGCAATCCATCTCAAAAAAAAATATAAAACTTCTATAAAGAAAAAGATAAATATTTTAATTAGTTATAAGCATATTTAAATAGGTTTTTAGCATAAGTAAATTTAGGACCCGCGAGGGTGTTCACACTAACCCTTTCGACAAAAAAATGTAGGTTTTTAACATTTCTCAATTTTAATATATATATATATATATATAAATTTTAAATCACCTAAACACATGAGAAGATATTGACTCAGCAGTTTAGATGACTCAAAATTCACCTTTACATTTCAAATTCAAATACTAAACAGTATATTTTATTTTTTAAACTCTCTTAATAAAAATTACTCTAAATTTGTCACTAGCTCTTAGTAGCTTTGATCGGCTATACTTTAATTTGATTGGTAAGTACTCGATTCTGCTTTGTAATTATTTCCCACATTTTCCCTTTCTCTTTCCTCGTCCTTTAAAAAAAAGACTTAAAATTATATATATATTCCTTAACATGAAATAATGAGGGTAAGCATTAAGCCAAATTATTAGAGAAGATGATGGTTGGGGAAAGAAAGGCCATGAAGGAAACAGAGAGAGCAACTAAATAATTTAAGTACATATCACCTTTCATACAAGCTAACAAAATGTATATATCCACATCAAATATTATTATTATTTATCATAAAAATTTGACAAGTCAAAATACTCCTACTTTTTTGCTATATTACTTTATATTAATCCTATTTATTTAATTTAATTTAACTCAATAAATAATAATATTGAGTACTACTTTTTCTAAAGAGGGAAACGAATATCACTTCCACAAGTATTTGGATGTTATAGTTTATATATTATGCTTGTACAAACTACTTTAATTGAAAGTTGTTAAAATAACAAATCTTATTCCAACATTCTTGAAATTTAATATTTTTGAAAGATAAAAATGAAAGTTACACTTGGAACTTACAGTAAAAAATATATATTGCATGTTTGACTAAGTGGGAAAATTCAGAGTTTTTTTTTTCAGAAAAAGGAAAAGTAGGGGATATTATTACAAGCCTACAGAGAATCTCTCGTATATGTCCTCTTTCAACTGAATTGTAGGTAAAAATCATCATTCTTTCCTGCTTTTACATCGTTAAATTACCTCCTTATTAAATATTTTTCCTTATTACGACTGCAATAATAAAATAATATATTTAGCATAATTTCATAATATATTTGGATGTTATTATATTTTAAAAATAGAAAAAATATTCTTGATAAATTTTTCAAGGAAAAGTTATTCAAAGTAATATTAAGAAAAAATAACAAAATAAAGACAATTACAAATTTACTTTTCGTACAACAAGAGTACATTTTTTAGATGTAACCAAAGTTTATATTTTTTTAACAAAAAATAATTTTGCTTTTGATGGATGGATAGATCAGTTCAACAACACTTCAAGTTCGCTGCAACTATCGAAAAACAAATTGTCATTAAAAATTCTTTAATTTTGTAAAATCTATACGTATACATTTTTATTTCGATTATACTATTATTTTGGTGTAATTATTATTATTATTCACATATTTTATAATACTTTTTGGATTGTTTGTCTTCAAATCAAGTATCTATATGAAACAATTTTTATTTTAGAAAATTTTTTGTACATTTTTATCATTTTCACACTCTATAGACTAGGCTGACTATGTTATTATCATTGGTACTTTCATATTCCATGGTATTTTATATCCAACTTGCTTGCGGAAAAGACCGTCTTGGTCACTCAACGTAAGATTGTATAATTTATACACAAACATTTATTAATGTATTTATACCAATGTTTTCTTTTAACACCCAACTACGAACAAAAACCCTAATCCTAAGGCTAAATCCCTCACGTTATGCTGAGTCTTACACGTAATATCATAAAAAAGCAGGTGGCAAGTGGCTTAACACTCATCTCTAGTGTTTCTTAAAACCTAAACAATTCACTAAATTTTAACATATTAATTATATACATATATGCACACACCCATAAGGATTGTGATTATAGAATAGTAAATACTTCTTTATTCCTAATCAGAAATTCGAGATACGAATTTCCTTTATTAAAAAACGCTTTAATGTTCAATATAGGACATCCCGCTCCGAAAATTAAAAAATATACTAATGTATACATATCATATGGAAAGGGAATACTTTTAAGATATATAGGATTTCATAGATACACGTGGCATTAAATGCTGAAAGAATTGATTACCTAAACCAAGCTTAACATATGAAGTTGCTTGTTCAATTTAAACTACTCAAATGGTGTAACACTATGTAGGCACCGGTTTCTATCAAATCATATAATATATATATATAATATGTGTACTAAGTACTACTTACTATAAAGAGCTAAAAAAATATTTTCGATACCTCAATTGTATGCAAACATAATTTTTAATTCTAATTATAACATAACTGTTTGATTGAATAGTACATAAAAAAATAAAATTATGTTTAGGACACTAATGATAAAATAAATGCATGTTTATGAAACTAAGTGTCTGGTATGGAGAAAAATATTTTCTCATTTTTTCTCATGTTGCTTTATCAATTTTTTGAAAAATATTTTTTACATAAAACAAGTTTCTTAACCATGAACATAATATTTTTTTTATAAAGATATATGAGAAAAGTAAGTTTTAGAATGTGTCACTTTCAGTCTCCAACCTACCCCACTCGTCATATTTAGCTACATCGCCATCATCCCTACACTCCATAGTATTTACCTTAATTATATATAAATATTTGAATTTTTTACCCTCTATATCACTAGGCCCAAACTAATATTAGTCATAGTGAGCCTATTTTTTTGAATTTTATTCTATTTAGTTCATTTTGTATATATTGGGAAATACTTAGGAAAATGGTAGGAACTCTTAATTTGTGATTATGATTTTCAAAAAAAAATTCTGCTTAGAAATTTATTGAGAGTAATATTCATTTATCATCACAAATTTAATCAATGTTGTGTGAATTACAAGTGAAAATTTTAAAATTACATCAGATGAAATTTTTATTTATCATCATAGATTTAATTGTTGTCTGATAAATTACAAGTAAAAAAAAAATAGAACTCCCATCACTGGGATTTGAAAGATTATAAATGAGTTTTGTGATTTATTCAAAGTTTAAATAAATTGATGATCGAAATGTCACATCAAAATTTTGGTTAAAATTTGAAGTTACTTGATTGAGATTTGAGCTAATTGGTGATGTTTTGCCCTATTTCAAATAGAGCTTCGTGGGTTGAACTTTATAGGACACGAAATTCAATTTTTTGTATGAATTTATACAATATTATATAATTGCGTCAAAGTGTGCATAAAATTCTCTTATACTCTAATATACATTTTTGTACAAAATTGATATATGGTATACAATTTCGTTAGAAGGAGTTATTCATGCATTAAATTTAACATAACGTTATACTTTGTTTGGTAATAAAGATGAGGAAAAATAATTTCTACACAGATTCTAGCATAAGTTATATATACAATGTTTAGTTGCTTGTTTTGTTTTCACATAAACCATAGTATTGCTAATACAACCTAAATTTGGTTCATATTCATAATTTTCACGACTAAAATATGTATAAGTTATGAGAAGATATGTAGGATAGAAGATGAAATAACTAATATATGAGTAATTAAATCCTACATAACTAATTTATGTATTACTAATCTCTATGTTATTAATCTCTGCATAACTTTAGTCGACAATCAAATCACCCCTCCTTGAAAATTAGTTATGTAGGATTTAGTTATTCATGTATCATAAGTTTATTTCATCTTTTGTCTTGCATAAACAATACATCAATTCCCTCATAACTTATACTCCCTCCGTCTCATTTTATATGGTAACATTTGACCGGGCACAAAAATTAAGAAATAAATGAAGACTTTGAAATGTTTACCAAATTACCCCTTCAAAAAATAGCTCACTTTTCTCTCCTTAAAAATGTATTGAAGTACTATTTTTATGATTAAGTGGGACCAACCAGGGTAAAAGAGGAATTGTACCTTTAAATACTTACCATTTAAGGAAATGTGACATTCTTTTTGGAACTAACCAAAAAGGAAATGGTGCCACATAAAATGGGACGGAGGGAGTACATGTATTAGTTATAATGAGGGTTGTGAAAGGGCAACATGTACATTGTATTAGGCGTGTTGAATTTTATTCATAACAAACGAACGAATGCTACCAAACATG